TGTGGGCAGAGCTTCCTCCTACTCCCAAGCTTCTCTCTTCACAACCACAACAGTGCGGGGCTTCAGCACCCTCTTCTCTACACCCAAAAGGCCAAGCTGGGAGGAATGAAGTGCAGTTCTGCTTGGCTGGGGGATTGTTTCAGAGGCCTTGCTTGCAGGATGCTCTTTTTTTGTGTGTGTCATTTACATTTTCTTGCACAAAACCCAGACCCTTTTGTGAGTTGTGCCAGCTGTAAAGAGCTGATGTCCTTGCCCTTTCAGCACAGGCCGGGTTGGTGCAAGGCCTGGCAGACCCCAGAATCTGGGAAAGGCTGCTGGGTCCAGCTCAAAGGGATAACACAGCTTGCATCTGCCACCCTGGTTATCTTTTCCTGTTACTTTATTTGGTCTTTCCAAATGCACTACCTTGTCTAAAGCCATTTTCCCCAGTTGCCTTCCCATAGAAATGCTCATAGTTCCATGTACTTCTTTTTCAGGCATCAGAATCCCTGACAATCCATAATATAGGTGCAATATATACTATAGCAGTGAGCTCGGGGTTTTCTAGCTTAAGTGAAGGAAGGCTTGGAGGGACAATGGCCGAGGTTTTCAAGAAACAATGAAAGACTGACACATCCTCATAATCAGGAATCCCAAGGGTGGGAAGCATACAATAAAGACAAATTCATACTAAATTGTATTATAGTGAAAATGCAGAATAGCAGAAAAAATGATGTTAAAAGTATCCAGAACGAAAAGCAAAATTCATCAAAGGGAGGATAACTAGTTTCAGCTGACTTATCAACATAACAATATATGTTATTTGAAAACGGAATGCCTTTGAATAGTTTAGAAAAATAATTAAACAGAATTATCTATTTAAATTAAGAAATTCTATGAAATTACCTATTACAAATAAAGGAATAAGGACATTTCTAGACAAGCAACAGCTAAACATTTTAACACAGACCTTCACGGAAGGAAATTTAAATGTATCTTAGGGAAAAAAACCCAGAATGAAGACTTAGGATGCAAGACAAAACAGTGAATAAAGAAAATAGCAAACAGAAAGGTTAAACTGAACAGATGTTGATATGTTTTATAACAATAAAATAATGTCTAATCACTGGGATCAAAACAATAAGGTAAACTCAAAGTTCTGGAAAGAATAGTGTATGACCTAGATGGTAAATAGAATTGGAGAATTCTATGATGATTGTATTACTATGAAAAATGGCAAAAATACTTTTTAGATTTAAATTTTTATAAGTTATATATATTAAGTTTTTCATTATAACCATTAGAGACTAGAAATAATGTATATTACCTTCCAAAAAGGCAAAAATAGAATGAGAGAAAATAATTATCAAAAAGAAATCAAGAATTGGGGCCAGGGATGTAGCTCAGTGGTTCTGCCATCTGCCTCGCAAGAGCAAGGTCCCAAGTTTGATCCCCAGTACCCGCCCCCCCCAAAAAGAAAGAAATCAAGAAGAGATAACAATAACTCTGACAAAAGCACTAGAAAAATCCTGCTAGCAAACATACTCAATGTAAATAAACTGAATTTTCCATTTAAGGAATGAGGCATATCTCAATAGGTAAGCACTCCAATCAGAAACTTGCTCATTGCATTAAGACACATCTAGACCATGAAGACTCTGAAAGGTAAAAAACACAATCGGGGGAAGAGGGGAATGTAAGTGTAATGCTAACACAAAAAATATACTTTTACAACAATAGCAGACATAATAGTCGTTGAAATAAAAAGCATGACTTGAATTGCTGGACATAAAGCAAGTCAACAGAAAGACGTAAAAATTTATATATATGCAGTAATTAATATAGCTTCAAAATATACCAGAAGTTGACATATGTATAAGGAAATAAAAATCCATCACAGTAGACGTTATGTAGTCTCTTGGTAGTCAGTATGTCAAGTAGCCCAAAAATCAGTAGGCATATAGAATATTTAAGCAACATCAACAATTATAGACTAATAGACACAGAAGACATTTAATTGCCTAACAATGTTTTCAAGAATCTAAGAAACATTTTGAAAATTTAACAATGTGCATTATGGTTTTATTCTTTTGTATGTATAACATAATTTAAAATGATTTAAAAGTGTGGAGTTCTTTGTGGCACCCAATGGGTTAATGCCTGCTCAAGTTGTCTCAGGGCACAAAAAACTGCTGACCCTGAGGAGTTGGAACAACTTGAAGATAAGGCATTCTACCAGCTCAGGCAGAAGTAAATCTTGCTGGTGAAATAAGGAGAAATATCCTGGGAACAATTTGATGAAGTTAACAATTTGGTATAATTGTCATCATGCCTTTCTAATCTAAAATATACACCTGTGTAGAACAACAAAAGCAATTCTAGGCAACAAAGACAAGGCAGGGGGCATCCCGATCCCCAATTGAAACTATACTAAAAAGCTACTGTAATAAAAACAGCATGGTACTAGCAAAGAAACAAACCCAAGGATCAATGGAACAGATTAGAAGATGCAGAAACAACTCAGGAAACATTCAGCCACCTCATCTTTGACAAAGGAGCCAAACACCCTCACTGGAGGATGGGTAGCCTCTTTAATAAATGGTGCTGGAAAAACTGAGTTTCAACTTGCTGAAGATTAAAACTAGACCCATATCTCTCACTATGCACTAACCTGAAATTGAAATGGATAACAAATATTATAACAGAAACACTAAACCTGCTAGAAGATAGGTTAGGTAGAACGCTAGAAGACATTGGCATAAGAAAAGACTTTATGAACAAAACCTGAGGTGCACGGAAACTAGCACAAAGAATCAACAACTGAGATCTCATCTTATTAAAAAAGCTTCTGCACCACAAGAGAAACCACCAACAGAGTGAAGAGATAACCAACAATGTGGGAAAAAAAATTTACCAGCTGTTCCTCAGACAAAGGTCTACTATCTAGAATATATAAAAAACTAAAAAATCAGACCTCCCAAATTTAAATACCCAACCCCAAAATGGGCATCTGAAGTGAACAGACATTTCTCAAACAAGGAAGTAAAAACATCAAATAAACATATGAAAAAATGTTCAACATCACTGGTCATTCTAGAGATGCAGATGAAAACAATACTGAGATTCCACCACACCCCAGAAAGAATGGCTGCTATCAAGAAATCAACCAATAACAAATGCTGGCAGAGGTGTGGGGAGAAAGGAATCCTTCTCCATTGCTGGTGGGAGTGCAGACTGGTGTAACCACTGTGGAAATTAATATGGAGATACCTCAAAGAGCTAGGCTTAGAGGTCCCATTCCACCCAGGTATTTCCCTTCTTGTTATATTCCGGAAAGAATTAAAAGCATCATATCATAGCAATACATGTATACTCATGTTTATAGTAGCACAGTTTGTAATAGCTAAATCTTGGAAACAGCCCAAATGCCCATCAACTGATGAATAAAGAAAATTAATATATATTATATATATTTATATTATATATTATATATAATATATA